TCATTTAATGTTTTTGTTATGGATGCAAGTTGCTCCTCCATAATTATAAGAGTTAATAGTTTATATGATTTTAAAAATTAATAGCGTAAATAGGAATACATATATGTTTGAGGTAAAATTAAGATACCGAGTTACCGACCGTTAAAGTCTCCAGAAAGTAAATAAAAACAGCTGATATTAGGTAGAATGAATCGATGTGATAAGAATAAATAAAAATGAAAACAACCAACTTGTATCCATGTACAGTATTAATCCAAAGAAAAACTTTGGTAAACTTAAGGAAAGATTGGTTTAATTCATTGAAAACATCGGTGTTTGCTTTATGTAGGTAGGTAACTGAGGTACACTGCACAAAGGTAAAAAATAACGATATAACTGTGAGAATTTAAANCAGGTAAACTGCACAAAGGTAAAAAATAACGATATAACTGTGAGAATTTAAAAAAGTTTAAAAGAGCTATGTTACACCTTAAATTGTGTTATCACTATTACATTAACCAATCAAATACAGCAAAAAATATTTCAAGAATCTCACCATAGATCGCTAAACCAGTTTTTGCGGGCTATAAAAAGGCCATTTCCCCCCAAATTCGGGTGGTTCTCTTACAGCAGTTCCTTTAAGGCTTCGCTTCTCTTACGGTGGTTATGCACGGTTTCTGACACATCCCTGTAGCGGACACTGGGACGCCTTGCTATTCTATCTCTGCATCTCTACGGCTCACTGGAATTCTCAACCAAGATACAAAAAAGTGAATGTGCGTGAGTTTATGTTTCATTCTTAGTTACAATTCTATATAAAATCTACACTATTTTTATCCTCTTTCGTAATTACTGAAAATATTATACATCTTATTTTCGGTCGAATACTTTTGGTGACATAAATATTCTAACACATATAAAATATTGGTATTTATTTATTTATTTTTATCTACATTTATATATATATATATATAAGCATACTAAAAGGTTACACGACTAGATTACATTGTGTTCTAAAACTTATTGAAGGGCCACAACCTGGCTGGACAAGGTAATATATAATGTATAATTTACAGAATTTTCGATAAGTATAAAATAGTATATTTTTATTATACAGAACATTTTGTTACTAAAAATCAGTATACATTTTGTAATTATCAAATTAGTACAATATGCAGATCATTCATGTATTATTGAATAACTGCAGAGTATTCAATAAGTTTGTAATCACCCAAGTCATATATAAATGATTATGGAAGTCTAATTTCATTAATGCAATCAGATTGCATTGTGTTCTATTACTTATTGAAGCGCCACATCCTGGCTGGACAGAGTACTAGTACAATAATATCATAATTAGAATTTTAGTTAATCATAAGATTTCTTCAAAGTGTCTCTCCATTTATCGACCAGCCAGTCTGATCTCTGCCACAGTGCGGGCAATCAGAGTGTAGGACACTAGTATAATCTATTGTGCAAAGAACTTAAATTTAGCTCGTATCTACCCTAAATCACTCTTTGGATGACTGAAAAGACGTAGGCCACTTGGAAATAGTTTGTTGCACAGGACAGTTATGTTGTTTAAAAGTTCTTTTTTTGCTTTATAAATTATTAAATAATAAATATATTACGGTAAAACACCATATATAAGGTTAAGGACTATACTACTAACGCGTATCCAATAATGCGATCGCACAGGTTATCTCGTTAATATGTGTTAATAACTTATAGTTTTACAACGATAACAGTAAGAATAGCGTGAAGGAAAAACGATCGTAGCAATACGAACAGTTCGGTATGTAAATATATATATATTTACTCAGTCGACTTCCCTAGCCGTAACGGATATATATTTCTTACACAACCCAAAATGTATATATGTAGATATAGTATACTACACAGCTTACTCTAGGTATCGGTCTCGAAGGTATCGTCTCAGAGCACAAGAAAGACAAACTCAAAACGACAAAACAACGGGTAACCAGGTACAGGTACGTCGAAAACAGAACAGCAAAAAAAAAGAAAAAAACAAAAAACAATACACCACTTCAGGTGAACGTCGAAACGAAACAGACCGCAATATCGGTAATCCATATTCGGCGTCGGCCTTATCTCAGTGTCAAGGGCGGGGTGACGACCGATGACAACCGATTGTCATATTAATAGCTGGACGGCTGATATCGAGAGAGACACGGGTGAGCGCCAGCTTAGAGCAAAAGGCGGTGCCGTGTCACTACATAAATATACAAAAGGTTTTTACAAAAAACAGAGTTATAATAAACTTAGATTTCACCTTGGGTAGATTTGATATAGAATTATACTAGAAAAGTAGTTACACGTGAATTAATAATAATATAANCAAAAAGTAGTTACACGCGAATTAATTATAATATAAACCGTATAAATATAATTGCGTACATTAATGCGTATTCATCTCTAGAGAATATCTGCCTTATCAGGATAGTCAGAGGTAAGTGAAACATTTGTTTATATAATAAGTCTATAATAGATACTTTACTGAATAATTTTTAGTAATAAACAATTAGAACAAGATAGTTCATTGAGAATAAACTAAAATATTTTTATAAAAAATTCTGTTATGGACTAGTTTAATACTTGAAGATCTTGGTCAAAACTAAGAATCGGAAGCTACCCGACGTCTGCCCAAATATCGTCCTTATCTTCTTAAATGAGTTTTAATTGCCTGAAAGAGACACAGGCAATCGTGTACCTTAGTTACAGGGGATAGATTATTAAATAAAATTAGACTATTGTTTTATGTCAGCGACAAAGTAAAGTTATATTTTAGATGTTTAGTAAATATAAGTTATATGTAATGTACAATACGTCTGACCTGAATCCTAGTACAGTTGGATAGTAGGTATATCCAAGTGAGACGGAGTTGGTTGGCTATGATGACAATTGGCGATAGACGGGTCGTTGAATAAAACAAGTTAAGTTATAAATAATATAAATAAGATGAAAGTAATAATATTGAAAACTATGTCTATAACGGCCACTCAAACACAACTGCCCTTTGTTAGTTCGACGTCAGTAGCTCCGGGCTACAGACGAGTAGAATTGTCACATCAGCATCTCCCTCTATGCTAATTAATATGTATTACGAATTAAATAAATAGAAATAAAACATGTGTAATATAAGTGGTAAGAACATAGTAATAAATGTTCTTACATTACCCTCTCCCCTATTATACTCTGAACCTTATAAACGGTCAAAATATTAAGAAAAAAAGAAAAGAAAGAAGAAAAAAAAAAATTTGTCTAATAATGCTTAAAAAGCTTTTAAGTTTATGTTAGGTTACAAAGTTAGACTTATGATTATGCATTGCGATTGAATAGAAATGAATATATAAATTTTTTATGTGTTTAAATTTATTCTACAATCAAAATTAATTTAAGTTAACCTAATTTATAGAATAAAAACGTTGCTAAAAAATCTACAAATTTACAATTTGCTATCTTACTTTTAACTAGACAATGCATAATAACTTATATAAAAATAAAAATTGTGATAATGGAACTATTTTATAGTTATTATACAATATAAAAATTATTCATGTATTTAAATAATACTTATTTTACCTAGTCTACTAGTCCAACTGTACAGAACGTTAAAATTAGAATCAGGTTTCTATACGAGGAATAAAAAATAAACAATTAGTCTATGACAAAAAGTTGTAAATTGATGTTGCTAATCTTGCGTTTAGTAGTCAATGACAGTTAGTTTCAATATGTAATATTATCTAGTAATTTGTTATTACACTATAATTTAATGTGTACTGAAATAATAAAATTGAAAGTTATTAGATAGTTTGCCGTGAAAACGGCAGTTTTGGTTAAAGTTGTTAAGTGGATCATCATTAATGTTTTCTTAGCAATCGACCTGTCAATGCCTGTAACATATCTAAAAATTAATTTTCATTTTATTTAACCAACCTTAATTAATATCATGCAGTACATTGACTTATATTAAACTGTATATTTGATTAATATGATCAGAAAAATTAACAAAAACTAGTATATCAATTGCTATTCAGTTATCTTAAAAATTTTAAAATGGTCATCTTGAATTATATCGACTTATGTAAGTATATTATTTAAGTTCAATTATTAATAACGTATTTTTTGTTCAACTTAAAATACAGTTTTTTTTTATCGTTGTAGTTTGATTTGTCAAATAGTAAAACTTTTATCCTTATTAAGTAGTAATATTGTTTTTAAAGTCTTATTGAATGAACTGTAATTCGTGTTTTCTCTCTTTTTTTTTAAATAGACCAATCATCAGACGATGCCGGAAAAATCTTCGGTTGCTGCTGGAATAAAATACAAATCAATTATAATAAAAATGCTTATAGCAATAGTAATTAGACTGAATAATGTCAGCTTCCTTTTTGACTTTCAATAAATATTTTTTTTTTTATATATATCAACATAATCAATAATTTAATTAATAATAAACTGTTAATCGAAGTTATAAAAAATTATTGTAATAATCATCATCAGACAGTGCCGGAAAAATCTTCGGTCGCTGCTGGAATAAAATACAATTCAAATATAATAAAAATGCTTATAGCAATATGACACGGCACCGCCTTTTGCTCTAGGGGCTGGCGCTCACCCGTGTCTCTCTCGATATCAGCCGTCCAGCTATTAATATGACAATCGGTTATCATCGGTCATCTCCCCGCCCTTGACACTGAGATAAGGCCGCCGCCGAATATGTATTACCGATATTGCGTTCTGTTCCGTTTTCGACGTACACCTAACTGGTTGCTCGACTCCGTTTTTTTTTTGCGCCCCCTGTTTACCTTTCTGCCTTTTTGGTTTGTNACCATTAATCGGAGTTATAAATAATTATAGTAATAATCATCATTGTTAACAACATTTCAATTGTTAACTTAACGTGTACTCGGACCGGTCTAATCGTTATCACGTGACGACTCCCTACTATGAACGTTTAGTGGACGTTCCTATCACCGGCCGATCAGCTGTTACACACTACACACCACACACGCACATAACCGCATTATAGTATAGTACAACATTGTAATGCGTAACAACCAGTATATACACATTGTTTTTGTTTTTCTATTGTTGAATTTCGTATATATTCTTGAAAACGTAATTTAATTTTTGTAGCAGGAAGAAGTTATTTTTCTATCATAGCATTGATTGTTTACAAAAATCTTGTTGCATTAATTGTGACTTCCTTAAAGCTACTAATTAGCTGACGGAAAGATTTATTGTTGCTACTAATTAGTAAAATTAAGCTAGTCAATTGTGATATTTAAATTTGAGTTACCAAATTGTAGTCTTAAGTTCATTTGTTATTATCGTGATCCTTGTTTTAGTGTTAGATTGCATCTCTGCAAATTGTGAGTATTATTGTTGATTTGTGTTCCACTTTGTAATTTAGTGTAGTCTTCTTTATTATTATTATAGTGATTATTGCTTGTGATTTATTGAACATATTAGTTATCACAAGTTTTATTTATTTATTATTTAGTTCATTGTAAGCGTAAGGCCAACGCACAACGGTCATAAGGACCTTGTGAGTATAAAATAGTCATTATCGTACGGGTATTTGTTGTTTTATATTGTGGGTAAATCATTAAATAATTAAACTATCTTTAATTTTGTGTTATCTGTTCAATGTCATTTTAATAATAATTATTATCTAGTCAAATTTGTTTAATTTAGTTACTACGTCTTATTATTGAATTTATACTATTATTCTTTATATTGTCTGATGTGTATATATGGGGCCGCCTCTCCCCATATACTCATTTTAGCGCCTCATTTTAATGCCTCATTTACCTGTTATCACATTATAGTTATGTAATGTGTATGTAATGCTTATCAATGAAGCTATTTTATAAAACGTATTTTATATTTGATAACATATTTTAGCGCCTCATTTTATATTTTGATTACATATTTTACCACCTCATTTTAACATTACTTAAATTACCATTTCTCTCGATAATTTTCGAGATCAGCGCCTCCTCCCTCTTCTATGACTTATAAGTTTATTGTCATGACGTGAGAATAAATACACTGATTTTCGAGTAATTTCAGTATATTTCTTTTGTATGTCAACTGTTAAGTTATAGTTAAAACTGAAGTGCAAAAATTATTTTACAATTAGAGTTAAACATACTTCAAAAACAATCAATAGTCAAAAAAAGTAAGTTTTTCAAAATTTTTATTTTAGTTGTGCTGAACAAACATATACTATTATTGATATGATAACATTTGCTAATGTTAATAACGTTTAATGTTAGTTTTTAAAGATTTTTCAAATTTATTATAAAACAATTAAAATATATTTTCTTATCAATGACATTTTTATTTTTAATATGATAATTAAATGATACTAATAACTATTTACGTTAGCCTATTACTGTGATTTTTGTTATAATTAAATCAATGATTTTTAGATGAGTGTAGTTAATAAAGAATGGTTAACTGGTATGCAAAATAAACGCAGGAAGTGTGTATCTGATCTTAAAGTTGGTGTTCAATATAAGGTTTTGGGTCTATTCGTCGTAAAATCGAAATATTCCACTCAAACACCGGTAGCTGAAGTGAAACTAGATGACGAACCCTCTTTTCAAGTTTATCTACCGTCTAGGTTTCAATTTACTCGAGAAGATTTGGCAAAAGGATTTGACGAAAATCTGAAGCTTGTTTCTAACGGACGAAAAGATCAAACTTCGAGTTACGATATAAAGTTTATGTAAATGAATATTGTATACTTTAAAATGATAATAATAAAGTATGGATTTATAAAAAAATATTACATGTTGTTGAATAATCAATAAAACTGTAACTATGATTGAATGCGTTATTTTAAAACTATACTTGATAAATAATGAAAGAAATATTAATAAACAATGGTAAAAATTAAATTAAAAAAAAACTAAAATTTGATACAGCTCGTTTCTAACACAATATATGTACAATATTTGAGGTATGATATAAAGTCTATGTAAATGAATATTATACACTTTAAGAACGATAAGTTGATTTTTAGAAAAAATATTTGAAAATCCAACAAAATTACAATTATATTTGAACCCGTAAATCTGTACTTGTTAAAAAAAATAAAAAAGTTACTGGTGTATTAATCGAACAAAAGGTAAAAAAATCAATACGAAAAATAATATTTAGAGAGTATTTTTGCTAACTCAGCGTCTGCAAAAGAAATATTAAATAGCAAAAATAAACAGTAGTCACGTTAGTAAGTGTAAGTAAAATGTTAGTGTTTTAACAAAAGTCACGTAAAATAATTTTAAATTCCAATGGACGTCTGAGAATAGTCATAACACGAAATTGTTTTTACAAAAATGATCAACTCCAGGGAAGGGGATACTGATGGTAAGAAATTGCTGAGGTTTGCAAAAGTATACTTAATAAAACCGAAAAATCATTCTTCTCCAGACTTAATTTTCATTCGTCTGTTAAATCGTTACCTTCAAGCCTTTTCATCTTCAATTGTCAACACATCAAATATGAATCATTTGTACTGTATTTGCGGTAAGACTTTCAGTTTTCTGAAAGATCTGGAACGTCATGAACAATCAGTTCATAAAAAAAAATTATACAGCTGTGCAGTTTGCGGCAAAAATTTTTCCAGAAAGGATAAAGTGAGAAGACATCAACATCAGACACACTTCTTGAAAGGTTGGTATCATGTATTATAATCATAACATGTTATGATCTAATTAAACATAATTTAATTATAAATTTAATTAATAGGTGTGAATAAAGTATTGCAGTTACAATCTAAGAATTATGAAAAAATGTGTGAAAACTCGATCGGTGAGTAAAAATTTTATATAATTGTATTATAACTACTTTTACATTTTTATTTTTATTTAAGACACTGAGAGAAATATCCTGAATCATGGCTCAAGTACGTCGGCAAACATTCATAGAAATTGTAAGCGTACATAAATAAATAATATTTATTTTACATTTATTTATAAATTTCTGTAATTATTTAATTTAGATAACGAAAATAACATAGTTAACTACGGAGCGAGTACCTCAAAAAATAGCAATAATAANTGAAAATACATAGTTAACTACGGAGCGAGTACCTCAAAAAATAGCAATAATAACTGTAAGTAAAAAAATTAATTTTACACAATTATGTTTATGTCATTCTATTATAATTGGTACTATTACTATTTGTACAGTATTTGATATCGATACAAAGAAAGAAAATGAATTAAATGCTAACNAATAAAAAGAAAGAAAATGAATTAAATGCTAACGATTTCTCTACTTCTCGGGATAGTGATGATGAACTCTGTAAGTTTAAATGTAAAAATAAATTTAACTTTATTTCTATAATTATAATTTTTATTTAAACAGTGTTTGATGTTGCTGAAAAGATCGATCCGAAGGAAACCGAAAATATTACTGTTTATCCAAGCTATGAGTATTATAATCAACTTGAATAGATAATGCAAAAAAAATGAACTCACTATTTTTTTAAAATTGTTATAAGGGGTCGAATGATATATTTACACGTAACAGTTATTTAAAGTAACATTATTTTATTAGGTGTAAATAGTGAATTAATTGGATTGGGAATCGAGTATTTAAATAAACCAAAACAATCAAACATAAAAAGTGAGTTAATCTTTTTAATATCTAGCTATGATAGAATTAAAAAATTAATTACTATAAATTATTAAATAATTTAATTTTCAATAATAACAATGTTTGTGTTTAACATAAAACACGTATTTTAAAGATAATTTCATTTATATTAAAACAGGTGATTGTGTGAAGACTTCAAGTTCAAAATTGATTGAATCAGCTTTTTCGGGCAATATAAATGTATACAGAATTGAAAATATCGATCCTTTTACTATCAGCGAGTTCATTGAGCGACATGCATTTGACATTACAGATGTGTGGGAAAAATCAATTAAGAAAAATATAGCGGTAAAAACTTCTTTAGATTTAGTAACAGTATATGAAAAAATTGATAATGTTAACGTTAATGTAGAGGTACCCACTATAACACAAACCCTTTCTATTTCTCCATTTGTTTTGACAGCATCGAGTAGTATTCCTGAGTGGATTACTATTATTAAAAATCTACTACAAAAAAAGTCCGAAGAGGTTGAAACGCGGGGGAGCGGGTGGGTTTTTAGAGGTGTAGTTTTTTTGGATATCAACACGTTTAAGTATGATCCTTTGAGGGGAGGATGTAATTTAGATATTCCAAAAAAATTATTGCGCAAGAATGTTTTAACAAATATTAAATCTGAGGGGGAAGATTGCTTTTTTTGGGCCGTAGTTGCTAGTTTATATCCGGTTCAATCGCGTGATGTGGATAAGTCAAAACCCGAATCGTATCCACATTATACCACAGTGTTAAACACTAGAGGATTTAATTCACCTATATCACTCACAGATATAAAAAAATTTGAAAGAAATAATAACATAAGTGTAAACGTATACACTTATGTTAATGAGAAAATTGCGGGTCCCTTGCATTTAACTGAATGTAAACGTAACAAACATGTTAATTTATTATTTTTAGATCAAAAAGATAAACCCTTCGGGCATTTCTGTTGTATTTCCAACCTAGAGCGGTTAGTATCCGCACAGCTTTCAAAACACAAATCTCATAAATATATATGTGATGGTTGCTTATCGTTTTTTTATTCAGAATCTAAATTCATGTCTCACCACCTCGATAATTGTATGCGCGTTAAAACGGTTCTTCCAAATCCCCCAAAATATATCCTCAAATTTCAAAATTATCAAAACAAAGTATAACAGGACCTTTTAATAACACGTCATTCAGACTAAGACCCGAGTCGGTTTTGTATGACGCGTCAAAAACGACTCGAAATTTCGGTGTTGTGCTGTTATTATGTATGACCGCATGATGACTTAAATTACAACAGTGAGTGTCCTTTTCATTTGGCTTCTCATCAGTCACAAGTTCCACGTGCCCTAGCTTTTAGTAATCGTTCATAAATTTTGAATAGTGTACTCTCTTATCGACCTTTACTTGAAGATGACACTCAAACGATAAAAATTGCCTATATGATTTACCCAATTGAATGACGTTATTTTTGTATGGTAACTTTCCATGTTCATCGCGTTGAACTGTGCGATAAAATTATTTTTTACACGTCTCTTCTTTTAAAGTTCATATATTGTTTTCTGTGTACTATTCTAAGTGCCAAAACTTACCCAGTATATTTTCTAGTGGATCAGAATTGTTGCTCACCTTAAGGAAAACCGTCGGTTTGTTGGCTCATAATATTGAGCTGCTTATTTTCCGATGTACCAGCAATAACACATTCGTTGTTTGTTCCCTGAAATACAGGACATTCTGGCCATGGCTTTATTTTCCCTGCGCACATGAAATCGTAGAAGTGACCAACTCCGATTAATTAGTCGATTTTCTGTAGTACGGTAGAGCGCGGATCTGCTAATACTGTAGACTACGGAAGCACGCAGTTACCCTTTAGTCAAACGCCTAGTAGGTTACTCGTAGTTCGCTTCAATTTCCTGTTGAATTTGTTATATACGCAGATTTCGAATCAATATTAACACCTATAGCTACATGCAATCCAAATCCTGCAGAATCTTTTTCAAATAAAATCAATATTCACGAACCTCATAGTTTTTCATATTTCATTAAATGTTCATACGATGAAAATTTGGATTGCATGGAGTTATACCGTGGAGAAAATTGTGCTAAGGTGTTTATCGATAGACTTAGAAACGATATAAACCGTATAAGTGACATTTACTCGAATCCTTTGCCTATGTTACCATTATCTTTAAAAGAACAACATGATCATTACATAACAACTGAGTGTCACATTTATAACGGTGAATTACGGCATCATGAAAAGGTTTTCGATCATTGTCACTTAACGGGGAGATATCGTGGCGCAGCGCATAGATATTGTAACCTAAAATGTTCGGTTCCCTCATTTGTCCCCGTAATTATACATAATATGCAGAACTATGACTCGCATTTTATTATATCGAATCTAGGTTTTGGCGATAGCGACGAGGGGATTGAAGTTTTGGCTAAAACAAATGAAAAATATATGTCAATTAAAAAAGTAATAAAAACATCTAACAATAAGCGACTGACATTGAAATTTATAGATTCGTTAAACTTTTTACCATCTTCTCTTGAAAAATTAGCTGAAACTTTATCCCCCGATCAATTTAACATAACTAGGAGAATGCATACGAATGATGATGAATTCAAGTTATTGTGNCAGGAGAATGCATAAGATTGATAATGAATTCAAGTTATTGTGTCGTAAGGGTGTATTCCCTTACGAGTATGTGACTGATATGAATGTTCTGAACGAATGCATGCTCCCCTCAAAATCTTCGTTTCGTAGTATTTTAAATATGTGTGATATATCAGACAAGGATTATGCCCATGCAAAAAAAGTTTGGGAAAAATTTAATTGTTCAACATTGGGAGATTATTCAGATTTATATTTAAAAACTGATGTGTTTCTTTTGGCTGATATATTTGAAAATTTTAGAAAAATGTGTTTAGTTAATTATGGGCTTGATCCTTGTTATTATATCACTACTTCGGGGTTGAGCTTTGATGCTATGAAACGAATTACCGGGGTAAAATTAGAACTGATGACGGACATCGAGATGATTAGTTTTATTAATAATGGGATTCGTGGTGGAGTATCACAATGCATATCACATTATAGTGAAGCTAATAATAAATATTGCGATGATTACGATTCGTCGAAACCGTCAAAATATTTATTATATCTCGATGCCAACAATCTATATGGAGCTGCGCTAAAACAACACCTTCCTCTTGGAAATTTTAAATGGTTACAACAATCAGAAGTCGATGAATTAGATGTAACAAAAATAAAAGATGATAGTGATTGGGGGATTTACATGAACTCCATTATGAATTACCATTATGTCCTGAAAATATACAACCACCAAATTCAAAATTTAAAAAATTAATTCCAAATTTAAATTATAAACAAAATTATGTTATTCACTATCGGACTTTAAAACAGGCCATTAGCTTGGGTTTGAAGGTAAAAAAGATAAATAAAGTACTAAAATTCGAACAATCGGCTTGGATGAAGGCGTATATAGATTTGAATACAAGAAAACNTTTGGATGAAGGCTATATAGATTTGAATACGAGAAAACGTATGGAGTCCAAGTCGACTTTCGAAATTGAATTTTTTAAACTTATGATCAACAGTATATACGGTAAATGTCTGGAAAACCCAGAAAAAAGAATAGACGTGAAAATAGTAACCAAGTGGGAAAATATTGGTAAAAGATACGGGGCAAGTGTATTAATATCTAAACCAAATTTTGATAGTGTCGCAATATTTGATAGCAATATGGCAGCCATTCATTTAAAAAAATTTGAAATTGTATATGATAGACCGATTTACGTTGGTTTTTCAGTATTGGAAATTTCCAAAACTATCATATACGATTTCCACTATAATTTTATGAAAAAAATGTATGGAAATAAGTGTAAGTTGTTGTACACGGATACTGACTCTCTATTTTACGAAATACAAACAGTAGATGTGTACGATGATGTCAAAAAAAATATAGAAAAATTCGATACGTCAAACTATGACCCCAACAACGTGTATGGTATACCGCTTGTTAACAAAAAAGTTATAGGACTCATGAAAGATGAAATGGGAGGTAAAATTTTAAACAAATATATTGGGATATGCAGTAAAATATACATGATGCACCGTGGTAAAGATGTGGGGAAAAAAAATAAGGGATTAAAAAAAAGTGTATTAAATGAGACAATAAGTGAAAATGACTATTTAAATTGTATAAGTTTTCACGATCTTAAAATTTTACGTAGCATGTATGTTTTTCGTTCATACAAGCATAAATTATTCACCGAAAAAATAAATAAAATTGCATTAGAATTTAAGGATGACAAGCGGTATCAAATACCAAACAGTCACGATACGCTACCCTGGGGTCATAAAGATATTCCTCCTCCTCTCCCTCCCTTGGATTAAAAAAGTAAATAATCAAATTTTATGTACCTCTACGTTATTATTTGTAAATAATTATTGAATTTATGTAATATTTGTTTATTAAATGATAATTTTTAAAATTTTAACCTAAAATAAAAGAATAGTTAAGTTAATTATCAATTTAATAAAAATTATTTGTATGCACTAATTAACCGTTGTGAATTAAACTTGCATTATTTAACAAACTTATGATAAATATTTATTTATTAATTTAATAAATGAAATGTAACTTTTGAAATTTTATCTTATGTTAAATGTGTAGATAAAAAATAAATATTAAAGTTCAAAATTATTTGTATGTAAATGAAAAAATGTATGTAATGACAATTGATCTAGAAATTGTAATTTTTAAATTTAATGTTACTTGTAAAAAAATTAATTTATTATCAGAAAAATTATTTGTATGTGAATATATAATAAAACATTGTAAGTTGGGTAATATACTCTTTACCATATATGTACTATAGAAATGTTAAAATATTTTACAAATGTATAGTATAAAATAATAAAACACACAAAACATTTAATGTAGTCTATAAAATATTTATTAATTCATTTACAATTTTATAGGAAAAACATTTGATTTTACTATTTATATTTACAAAACTTATAAACAATTACTTTACATTATACAGTTATCGATTAACCATAAATATAATACTTTAACACGATTATTCGTACAACAATTATGATTGTCTTTATGAAATAAACACGTATCCTTTGATAAATCACAACTATCACGTAAAAGTATATCGATTCTCGGACAATCATAATCTTCCATATTGATTACTGGTTTGTTCGTAAATTTTTCGATAAACTTCTTTTTTTGCAAACCTTTAACGTAAAAATGTGTATACCGCTCACTGAGTTCATTCAGAATCGTCTGCAGGTTGTCGTAGTCGACATCACCGTCCGTATGATTTAATTTATGTTTATTACAGCATAACCACCTATTCACCCTCGACGATTTAGTTGTCATATAGAAATTTATAGGCGGTTTAAATACATAATGATCTAAACGGTCAAACGTGTACGCCGTCAGTTCTTTTACGATCAATTGACATCTGTAGTTTACGATACATTGTAAATCGACTACTAGTGACCCGTCCATTTTTTATGACTGTTAAAACTATACTAAATCTTTTTTGTGTATCCAACTGCTTTTTTTTAAACCATTCCATTTAACCAAATAGTTATCATTTTTACGACGTAAAATTTTTTCTATCAGAAACGTATTTGGAAAATTTGTTTTTTTCAACTCCTCCCGGTAGAACGTTCCGTTAATTTGCGTACCGTCTTCATCTTTCAGCACATATACAACGGGCACTGTTTGTTTTATTTTATCTATGAAAAATATTTCATTAGACCAATTCTGTGTATATCCTTTGACGAAAGCGGCTTTATTTTTACTTATACGTACTGCGTCACCAATATTTAATATTTTTCGTGTAATGTTAGAATAATTCGGTAAACGATAAAACCGTACGCTATCGGGTTGTTTGGATGCTTGCGCTGGTGTTTGACGAATTGCCGAATGAATAGCATTGTTATAATCATTTGTTATTTTTTGTAATATACTCAACCATTGATAAGATCTCGAAGCTGTAAATTTTTTCCACATGCGTTCTTTAAGCGTACGGTTAAAACGTTCGATTACGGATGCCTTCACTGCAGAATATGTAGGGAAATGATGAACACCTCTCTTTATTAGAAAAGTTTTCATCTCTTTATTGAAAAATTCTAAACCTCTGTCTGTCGTTAAATACAATGGACATCTATTACAATTACTTATTATTGATTTAAACGCTGCTGTTACTGCTCTACCAGTTTTACTTTTTAATGGTACACACCATGCGTATTTTGTATACACGTCTATTACAGTGAGAATAAAAGTATAGTTTTTATTCTTGCTAGAATACTTTTTCATATCGACGAGATCCGCTTGCCACGTGTTGTCTTTGGTATAAGGTGTCACGATGCGTCTGGGAAATTTCTTTTTAGCTTGCGCATGTAACTCCTCTGCTATTTGGTCACCAACGGTTTTCATTCTATCACTCCGTTTTCTCTAAGTTCTTCTTCCAGGGATATTATTTCGTTATACACACCCGTATTACCTGCACGCTTTGACGCGTGTAGAATAGATAGTCGCTGCACTAATTCGTTTATATCGTCCCAGTATATGTATTCTTTTCGTT